TGCCACCCAGCACCTGGGCATGGGGAGGAAGGCGGAAAGCTGCACCCGAGGGCTGGGCGACACCACAGGCAGCGCTCCACACTCCCGCAAGCCAGGGCACTGGACCCAGCACAAACACTAACTCCCGCACCGTCCCGACGCCTGGGAACCGAGGGCTCTGGAGTGCTCGTCTGCAAACCGTGTGCCCACTTATGAAAATAAAGAAATTGAGCTGTGACCCTGCCGTGAAGGAGCCCTGGTGGGGGAGCCCCCTACAGCCAGGTTAGACATTTTCAGCCAAGGTTGCCAGGGCCTGCGGTCCCAGGTGGGCCCCCTTATGGCCGCCTCCCTGCCCCCCACCACCTGTCCACAGTGAGGCAGAGGCTGGAGTCAGCCCTGCCCGCCAGGCTCCCGCACTTCCAGCCGTGGGGCCTCGGGCCAGCAGCTGGCGGCACAGCCGTCCGGATAAAGGGCAGCTGTTCCCAGGGCCAGAGCATCCCTGGGGTCCAGGCATCCCTCCCCCTCACTTAAGGCAGAGCGCGCGCGAGCATACAAACTGCCACCAGGCTTTATTGCTCCAAAGTCAAGGTAAACAGAGAAAGCGAGAGCCAGAAGGCATTCCAGACAAGGGAGGCGGGCGTGGGCCCTGTGGCTCTGGACAGAGGTTCCTTGCAGACAGGACTCCCCGGGAGACAGGTCACGGGCTCCAGGACCACTCGTCAGACTCACTGGGAACCTTGGGCAAGTGCCTGCCTGCTCTGGCCTGTGACGGAGGGGCTGGAGGGCCCTGCCACATCTCCCAGCTCTACAGCCGGCCCAGCACCCACCCAGCTGCCCACAGGGCACAGGTGCAGCCTCCCTTGCCACACGCAGCCAACTCTCCTCCCGCAGCGCGGGCCATCGGCGAGCTCCCTGCACCGACAGGAAGCTGGCAGGAGTGACACCGGCCCCCTTCCTGGATGAGGAGCCCAGAGGGCGAGCGGCCGCTGCTCCTCCTGGGAGGTAGACAGGTCTTATTCACGGCACACGTGGAGAAAACACACGCACACGCACACGGCACACACACCACCAGCCCGGAGGCCTGGGCCACAGCCCTGAGGAGGGCGGCCCCAGAGGAGCCTGAAGGCACGTGTCCACCGCACAGGGCGCTGGGCTCGGCCCCGCCAGGCTCCTGGAGGGCCGCTGGGGGACGCTGCTGACCGGGGCCCAGGGACATGTCCCTGGGGCAGGGCTGCCACACCCTGAAAGGTCCCTCTGGGAAGCCAAGAGCCGGGCACTGGCCTGGGCTGGGAGCCAGAACAGGCCCAGCGTGGGGCCTGGGGGCCGGGAGGAGGAGCAGGAGTGGGCCCCTGACAGCGCATTCTCCACACCTGCCCATCCTGCCGGGTGCAGCCAGGCCCTGGCAGACATGCCTAATAGCTGAAGGCCAGCCGGGCAATCAGAGTGGCCAGTGGGCACGGCCACGGGCAGAGGAAGTGACGATGTGGAAGGAGCCTGCAGGAAACCAGCGTTCAGGTCCCCAAAGGGCCACTCCCTGGGCACCAGCTCTCCACCTGCCCAGCTCTCACAAGGCTGGGGCAGGCCGGCAGGGATACCAAGGTGGGGCAAGCTCAGGCCTGCAGACAGGGCAGGACCCCACTTCCTTAGCACCAGGGGGCGGGGAGGGGAGAGCCTGGGCTCAGGCCAGGCCGTGGGCCGCATCCTGGAGCCGTCTGTCCGAGGCCCAGGGAACTGGGGGAGGCACCAGTCCCACCAGTTGTCCGGCTGCTGCCGAGGCTGCTGTGCCAGGTACGCCAGGAGCATCGTGGCCACCCTATGGGCTGCCATGGAGGAGCGTGGCTGGGGCTGTGGGCAGCAGCAGACAGCCCTCCAACCACTGCTCTGCCCTGAAGGCCGGTGGACAGAGGTGGCCCAGCCTCCCGGAGGCCTCCTGCCTGGAGAGCAGAGAGGAGGCTCACTCGGCTGCGGCCCGGCCTCCCACCGGGAGATGGGACCAGGGCCGCAAGGGAAGCTCCTCCAGGCTTCCCGGGCCCCGCGGTTCTGCCAGCCGTGACCATCCACCCAAGGCCTGTTTCCAGCCACGCAGGCCGCCGTGGGGCCACGAGGGCTGTTGGCGCAGAGCCCAAGTCCTATGGCCTGGCTCACCAAGGCTGGCAATGCCCATGTCCTTGCTGCTGGGCAAGGCCCACAGAGCCCTCACCCCAGCATCAGCTCAGGGCCAGGAGATGCCAAACTAGGAAGAGGGGCAGACAGGGCTCCAGTGTGGGGACAGGTGCAGAGAAGCTGATGGGAGCTTGGCAAAGGCTCCTCCTCCAGGCTGTCCCCCAGGGTCAATGCCTCCTCCTCCAGGCTGTCCCCCAGGGTCAATGCCTCCTCCTCCAGGCTGTCCCCAGGGTCAATACTTCAGGGCCTGTCCTCTTGAACTTGCTCACGCAGAACCCGAGGAGTGAGAGGGTGGGGAGGTCCCCTGGACCCGCGTCACAGCTCCCCCTCCAGGGTCTCTGCGAGCTTCTCCTCGTCAGCCTGCTGCTTCTGCTGCTGAATCCGGGCGTAGGAAATGGCGTCACCCCTGGGGAGACAGCAAGGCAGGGTCACAGCAGGGACAGGCCCCAGGCACACGGCCCTCCCAGCCACTACCTGGTTCCTGGCCAGCAACCTCACCATGACCTGCAGGCACAGCCTACCGGGTCTTCGGGTTTCCTCAGAGAGCTTGGTGCTCGATGGCAAACGTGTCCTGTCACCTCTAACAGTGGCGCAGGCTGCCTGGATGCCAGACTGGGGGTGGCACCTGCCACAGTGCGGGGGGCCTGCATGGGGAGGCTCTCACGAGCCCTGTCCAACATCCCAGCCACAGGCTGACGAGGTGAGACTGACCACCAAGAGGCCTCACAGATCCTGCTCATTCCCTGGAGCTGAACACCCTGAAGATGCTGACGGATCACTGACCACCTCTGTGCCTCAGTTTCCACAACTGGATACCAAGGGCCACTGTCAGACCCTCCTCACTGAGACTTGGGGGGCAGGAAGGAGAGACCCCCCCGCCCCAGGGGGGCTGGGACGGGCAGACGCACTTTTTGCCCAGGGCAGAGAGTCCGTACAGCACGCCGGTGGCGAAGGCGACAGCGTTGCCCAGCAGAGTGGTCAGGGTCAGGCTGATGATGATGGGGACGACGGCCATCCTGAGGGAGAGGCAGAGGTCATGGGGCGTGCCCCACCTGCAGCCGCCACCCACCTCCAGGCTCCCCCGTCCACCCAGCCCCTCCCTGACCACCAGGTACAGGAGGGTCCCCAGAAACCAGCTGGGACAGAGGTTCACAGCTGGGCTTCCTGAGTCCTCCAGTGCCCATGACCTTGTCTGCCCAATTCTGGGTGTCGTCATCGGATTTGTGAAAAGGTCTGTGACCCAAAAAGGGCTAAGACA